CACAATCCAGCTCGCAGCAAAGGGAAATCTCCTAAGCTTCAAGCTAAATGGGACGGACCGTGCCAGATTGTGACAAGGATCAATGACGTAACCTACCGTATACAGAAAGGTGCCAGAGGTACTCCTAAGATCGTCCGTGTGGATCGACTGGCGCGTTATTATGGGGCCAATAATGCTCGGGACGAGCATGTCTTAGGAGGGGGCAGTGTTGCGCGCCACTATTAATGTCTTGTACATGGCAACACTAGTTACACTAGCGTCCTCTAGTGTCGAGTAGCAGAACTAGGAGAGTCAAGATCCTTCCAGAAATTTCGGGACCGATATGTACTCGAACATTTTAGATGTTGCTACAGTAGAAGGTTCTGGAAACTATCTGAGGCCCTATATAAGGCTGGTATAGACCACGATTGAGGCAGTATTGAATTGGCGATACAAGAGAATACTTCGAAGCGAAACAACTGCGAACTTAAATGATCAGTAGTACAATTTTGGTTTATTATTAGTGTGGTTTTTAGATTGTAATTAGTGTTGTGTAATTAAAGTGTCAATTTCTGTAATTCAATCGGCAGTTTTTAATTGTCTCGAACCCCAAGCTCGTAACAATAATATAAACCAATTACGTTGTAAAAATAAAAGTGCCAATCTATTAACTTCTTTCTGAGCTGATTAATGTAAATGAAAATATCCCAACAGAGATGGACAATATAGACGTAGCCTTAGCTTACAATTGCGACACTGAAACCTGTAATTCGCTCATTAAAAATTAGTCTACTTCCCTGAAGATATTCAGTCAAAATATTCGTAGCATATACAAAAACTCAGATAGTTTACTCATTCAACTATCTCGTTTCACGTTTGAATGTGACATTATTATCTTATCTGAATGCTGGCTGAGTGCCTCTAAACATATTCCTCAGTTTGAAAATTACAATGCATACTTTACGCATAAATATCTCAATCAAAACGACGGTATCGTGATATATGTTAAAAAAGGTATTAAATGTACAATAGAAAAACCAGAGTCATTAGCTGCAAATTTCATGTCTATTGAAATTATTGATCCCGACATTTTCATTTTAGCTACTTACAGATCCCCATCGACTCACTGTATTGACAGTTTTTTGAATTCTATAGAAAATATAGTTCGTCCCCTAGACTCAAATAAAAACTTGGTACTAATTGGTGATATAAATATTGATATTAAAGCTAATAACAGCTAATAACATCGAAGAAGTGAAGCGTACTTAAACTTAACAGCGGAGCTAGGCTTGCTTCCAAGTCACACTAAGCCCACTAGGTTACAAAACTGTCTTGATCATGTTATGCTGAAAACTAGTTCAGCGGCATCAGTATTTGGGATTATTGGTACTATAACAGATCATGCTTCAATCCTACTCAGCATTTGCCTTGATCAGCAAAGGCCTAAAGAAGCAAAGTTTATTACTAGAATAAACTATGATGCTTGTTTAAAATATCTAGAGACAGTGGACTTTTCCTTTATAAATACCTCATCTGATGCAAATTAAGCCGCATCAACTTTAGTAGAAAAGCTGCCTAGTGCAATTTCACTTCATTCTGATTCCCGTCGTATCCCTAATAAAAAAGAACGCTAAAAACATGGTTAACTATTGGTCTTTTGCGTTCTATTTGCCACAGAGACAAACTTCATAAAAAACTTAAAAATAATCTTGATAATACAATTCTTGAAATTACATATAAGCGTTACCGAAATTAATGTAACTTTTTGTTGAGAAAGCTTAAAAGAAATTATGAAAAGTCATTGTTACGAAACGTGAAACTAATAAATATACTTGTAATGCAATTAAATCTATAATAAATTATACAAAACAAAAGACGAGTGCTGATAATCTTTTGAGTTCTGCTGAAAATGCTGTTCGTGATGTAGAATAAAGAATATTTTTCTAATACTGTTAAACAACTAGCTGAAGTCGCGAATATATCAAATCAAAATAGCTCTCCATACAATTTCACAATTCCACCAGTCCCTAACTCTTTTGTCTGCCGACTTCCAAAAAGGAGCCGGTACTCAATTCGACTGTATGTTTTTTTTTTTTTTCGTTTTTTTTATGTGTGTTACCTCAGAACTTTTTTCTGGGTGAACCGATTTCGATGATTCTTTTTTTATTTGAAATCTGGTACTTCTCGTGTGGTCCCATATGAATTTGATCAAGGTCAGACCAATAGTTTTTAAGTTATTCTTAAATAACTTATATTGAAGTCGGCTGTACAAAATTTTTAATTTTAAATTATGCTACTTCCACCAGATGAGGGCGAGGTTGAATCTATTATCACAAACCTAAAAAACAATACTGCTACTAGATGGGACTCCATACCTGTGCAACTTCTCAAATTATCCGTACATCTTGTAGTTCCACCGTTGCCTAAACTTTTTGAGCTGTGTTTTGTACAAGGAATTTTTCCAAAAGTTTTTAAAAAATCGCTGATCACTCATGTTCATAAGGGTGTGTCTCGAGACGAAATGTCCAATTACAGGCCTATTTCAGTACTCTCTTCTATCTCGAAAATCTTGGAAAAATTATTAAATTATAGACTTATTAAATTTTTAGAACATTATAAAGTTTTATCTTCTTCACAATTTGGATTTAGGTCGGGGAAGTCCACTGAAGATGCAGTAATTCAATTAACAGAGTTTGTGACATACAAACTTTTGATGTTGATGTTGATGCGAAGCAAAAATGTTTAGGGATTTTCCTCGACCTAGCCGAGGCGTTTGACACTGTCTCGATACCTATCCTTGTGAGAAAGTTAGAACGCGTTGGTATTCGTGGCAATGCACTGATGTTATTTAAGGACTTTCTGTGTGACCGCACACAACAGGTTAAAGTGGGTGAATACGTCAGTCCCGAGGAACCGGTTATATGTGGCGTTCCACAGGGTAGTATTTTAGGACCTAGTCTCTTTCTTATCTATATAAATGATTTATGTCAGCAACCTCTAGTAAATGGTAAAATGTTTACCTAGGCTGATGATACAACTTTGGTCTTCCACGGTAAGACTTGGGATGAGGCTCAGCTGGGACTTCACAGGGTTGGCCATTGGCTCGGTGCAAATCTCCTGACTTTAAATATTTCTATAACTACATACATGCAGTTTTCCTTGGGAAACACTGGATCCGTAAACCTCGATCTTAAGGTCCACTCGTGTACTGAACCTTTCAATACTACCTCTCCATGTTCATGTCTTGGAATTACTAAATCCAGTAGTGTCAAATATCTAGGCGTAATATTGGGCGACAAACTTAACTGGCGTCCACATATAGATCTTACGACTGAACGTACTTCTTTGGGTTGGTTCAAAAACTTATTTGTGTTTTTAAAAGTTAAGATACGCCGCTGGTTTACCTCTTCTGCGTTCAATATATCATGCTTTAGTTTAGTCTATTATAGGATACTGTATAAGCGTCTGGGGAGGAGCCTGTAAGACCTTTTTAATCCTTTTCCCCTTCTTTTTCCTTTACCCCTTCTTCTTCTTTCTTTTTCCTTTTTCTTAAAAGTCATGACCTTTAGGCCATACAGATTTCCCACTAAAGAATTGTACGAGAAATGTCGAGTATTAACTGTCAGACAACTGTACATTTTGAAATTAATTACCAAACAGCATATAGTTACCGTTTATAATGCCGCTGATTATAACAAAAATAGGGTTATAAAAAATGTATGCTTACCTATTACATTACTGCTTCTGCTAGGCAGCAACATGCTTATAAGGCTATATATTTGTATAACAAAATTAATAAGCTAACAAATATACATCTCATATCTAATAGAAAAGTCAAAATTAAAATTAAGAATTGGCTATTAGGACTAGATTATGAACAAACTGATTCGATCTTAGTGTGAAACTAATCAATTAACATCCAAAAATTTGTTATAAATCTTAAATTTCAACCACACACTCACAAATGCACGCACATGCACGACCACTCATGCGCACTCACACACATACATATCCACTTACGCAAACACACACACACACGCACGCACACCTCTCGGAGATATGCATGCACGTAAAATATGCATGCACGCAAATAGAATTAAATTACTTTATTTACATAAAATAGTTTAGCTGTCATTTATATTAAGGAGATCGCACTAACTCCCGTACCACAGGTTTTTAACCTAGCTCGGGAGTCAGGGACTTCAATAAAATATTGTAACATTTTTATGTCAATAAAGATTTTTATTTTTTTTTCCCTTTTTCTTTTCTTTTTTGTATTCTATAGATAACACAAGCAGAATTCCCACCGTTTGGCGTTTTGACTAGACATGCGCAAAACGGTACCCGAAGAAGTGATGCAACATCACACATCACTTTTGTTAGAGTGATATCACTTTGTGATATTACGATCACCCTAAACATCACTCGAGATTTTAGCATTACAGGCAACTGAGTACCGACAATAGTACTGGTATCTATCGATCACATTCGACGGACAACACTCGTATCACTTGAGAAGTAATGCAACAATTATTGTGAATATCGTATCGAACATTCTTTTTGAGCAAATAAGTTTTATGTGTGTGTATGTAACTATTATTTATTCTGTGATATCGTGTAGTGTAGTAGTAGGTAGGTAGGTAGGTATATACGTACAGTAGGTATGTATGTGTGTATAGTACACGGACCGCAATAGGTATGTTATGCAGTTGAGTATATTTATGCATATTTAATCACGAGTGGAAAGTTGATTTTCCTTCATACTTAGGCCCACGAACGAACGAAATAACAAAAAGGGGCTCCATCCAGGCTTAGGACTGGCAATCTTCGATTGTTTGAAGAAAGGCGTATTTAAAAATCAACTTATATATACAATGATTTTTGATCATTATATACATTATGTACATTATTTTTTATATTTACAAGAATCTTCTATTTTGTGCTTGAAGCGTTTTTTTTACTATAAACATAAATCGACAAGATACGTTTTTACAATATTATTTACATTTCATCTGACTTCTTCAGTTGCAGCTTATAAACATTAACTGCGTTAACTTTTTTGTAGTTAAGCGCGTTCTTCTATCGTTAAGTGTTAGCCCTGCTTTTGAAAAGACCCGCTCACATGGTACGGATGTCGCTGTTATATTCAGTCTTTTTAGCATGTGTGAGTGAAGGCGTGGGTAGATGGCTTTCCGTTCTTTCCACCATAATAATAGGTCGCAGTGTCGATTGATTTGCGGCTCATTCATATACTTGTCGAATTCTACTATACCCGCAGCAACCGGATTTTCGGGTACCTGGCGTGCCACTTCTTCGTCAAACTGTTCCCAAAGTGAGCTTACTTTTGAGCAACCTGGGGTTGGTTCGACAGGCTCTGCTGGTTGCAAAGGGCGTTCGTCTGAAAGAACTATCCTCCCAATTTTTAATTTTAAATCGGCTGCCGCCGCTTCGAAATTTCTTATATCCCTGAAACCAGATTTTTTGAAGCGTGGGTCCAGTATTGTGGCTTCCCTAAGCAACATGTTCTTTTCTATATCACCGAAACGGTGCATAAGTTCTGTTTTAAAAAAAGAAACAAGACCTTTAATGGTTTCCACGGTTTCATTCGAAAACTTTTGAATTTGTACGTACATTAGTTTGCACAACACTATATATTTGGATGCGGACACGTAGTTTTCAGCACTAACCTCATTAGACACCTCGTAGAAGATGGACAAGATCGGTAAGGATTTTTCAATAATCATCCAGTCGTTGGGCGTCAGGGCCAATTCAGCTCTCATGATTGCTATTGAAGCAATAAGAGCTTCTTTTATCTTCAGGAACCGGTTGAGCATATCGTACGTAGAGTTCCATCTAGTGCACACGTCTTGTTTCAATTTCAGTGGTGCCAAATGCATTTGCTCCTGTATCTCTTTAAGTTTTCTCTGCGCAGGCAAGCTTCTATTGAAGAACTCCACCACATTTTTCACCTTGATCACGGTATCAGCGATAATTTCTAGGCTGTCCTTCACAACTAGGTTGATAGTATGTGCGAAACAGCTTATAGAACGCCACCCGCCGATCCGAACGGCACCCAGAATATTAGACGCGTTGTCGCTGACAATCGCACAAATTTTCTGGTGAATGCACCATTCACGAAATTTCTCTTTAAGAAATTCCGATATGTTTATCATTGTGTGACTCTCGTTAAATTGTAAACAACCAATCATGACAGTACGTAAAATGTGGGTTCCGGGATCGATAAAATGGGCCGTGATGCCAATATCCCTTAAATGCATCTTGTATCGATATTGATACATTGCATTCTAATAGTTTTTATCGGTTTTTTATTTGAAGTACAGCATAGGCTGAATGTTTACACGTTTCTTTGCCTTATTGCCCACAAACAAACAAAAATGTCATGTGTCAATGTTATTTCTGAAAGATGATTTTCTTGTCTGTGCTAAGGACATCAACAAGGTGCGTATAATCAGAAGACTGAGTTTTTCATCTAGCGGCGAAAACGAAAATAAGTCGAATTTTTACCAATAAAAATCACAAAATGGATGGTAAGTCCTTCATTTACTTGAAAACATTTGAAATTGTACGACTTTCATGTGTTTACGTGAGCAAATATCGCATTTTATGTTTGTATCGAAAACGATACAGCATGCATTTGATTCCCGCCTAAACCCAATTCAATTGTTTGTTCATAACGGTTTTGCTTATGATTTTGCTTGCTTTTAGATACACAAAACTATACGTTTACGTTGTTAATATATAGATGAATGTATATTTTTGCTTTTCAGAGCAACAAATAGAGGATATGCTCAGGAGGTTGGAGAATGGTGACATTTCGGAAGATGATTTAGAGTCAGATGGAGAAAATATTCCTTATAACCCATATCTAGGAGCCTTAGCAGCTGAATTAGAGGACGATGAAGACGTTCTTACGGGACAAGACAATTCAGAAGATTTTCTGTACCAACCATTGATTCAGGATGAGCAGCTTGTGCAAGGCGCACAGTCGTTGGAGCGAGTGGAAGCACAACCGACTGAATCTCTCATGAATTTGAGGAATTTACTGTGGAGAAAACAGTCTTTTCTATTTGATGAGAATAACATCAAATTTGGTGGGTCTGAAGAGTTACCTTCATCTATAATGAAACTGCAAAGTCCGTATCAGTTTTTTATCTACTTTTTCACGAATCCGTTTATGGAAAACATTGTTACTGAATCAGCACGCTATGCTGTCCAGAAACAACCTGACAGACCTGAAATATTCACAGAGGGTGAACTTCGCAAATATTTTGATATTTTAATATTTATGTCTGTTTACCATTATCCGAGCACAAGGTCGTATTGGTCTAATAAATTTAGCTTCAGTCCCATCAAAGAGGCAATGCCAATAAATAAATTTGAGAAAATGCGAAAGTTACTGCACTTCAATAATAATGATGATCATCTGCCAGTAGACCACGTGCAGCATGACAGGCTTCATAATTTACGTCCTATAATCACCCATTTAAATGAAAAGTTCTCTAGCGTGACCATCGAGCAGCGATTATCTATAGATGAACAGATGTGCGCCACCAAAGTGGGACATTTTCTCAAACAATATCTCCCCAACAAACCCCAGAAATGGGGTTTTAAATTGTTTGTTTTATGCAATTTGAGCGGTTTTGCTTATAGATTCATAATCTACTCTGGGAAAGAAGCTAATGAAGGATCCTCAAACAGTCAAAACCTGGGAGTTGTAGGACAAACAGTTATGAATTTTCTGAGTGTGGTACCCAAGCAAAGAAATCATATTGTCTATTTTGACAATTACTACACATCTTTGCCATTGATGTGTATACTTGCTAAGCAAGGTATACATTCCCTAGGCACTATTCAAAGAAACCGACTGGGAAAAACTTGCAAGTTGCCAACTAAGCAGGATGTTATGAAAAGTTCAATTCCAAGAGGGTCTTATGAAGAGTATGTTACAAATTTTGAAGGCATTGACATGACAACAGTAAGTTGGAAGGACAATAAGCAAGTTGTGTTAGCGTCGACATACGTTGGAGCATGTCCCGTAGGGAATATCGAACGATTCGATAAAAAAGAAAAAAAGAGGATTCTTATCACGTGCCCAAAGCTAATCAGGGAATATAACATGCACATGGGTGGTGTAGACCTCATGGATTCCTTTTTAGGAAGAAATAGGATTCGAATGAAGAGCAGAAAGTGGTACATGAGAATCTTCTATCACCTGCTTGATTTGACAGTAATAAATTCGTGGGTGTTATATAAAAAAGTTGAAGAAAAAAAAAGGAAACCACAAACAAATCATGACCCTTGCAGACTTTCGATCAGAGTTGGCAGAAACTCTTTGCAAATATAGTCCCGCTAACAACGGAGGGCGCCCAAGCACCAGTGCAATTAGGGAAGATCAACCCCCACTTAAAATGCGAAAAGGGAAACCTTGCCAAGTTTTGCCACCCCTTGAAGTTAGACTCGACCAAATGGATCATAACATCATGAGAACAGAAACACGTGGTCGATGTATGATGCCATCATGTATAAGTATAATTAAATGTTCTAAGTGCAATGTTCACTTATGTAGTAAGAAATCCAAAGATTGTTTCACCCATTTTCACAATTCTTCAACTTTGTAAAATCATGATTATTTTGCAAAGCTAATGCATACTGTATCGAAAACGATACTAAAATATTTTTATAAAAAAATAAATGTTCCCGTTAATATAGATTTTTTATTTTATTTTATTCAGTAAATGTTACGCCTTTATGAGACAAAATAATTTTTTTGGGAAAAAATCTTTTATTATGCATTTAAGGGATATAATCATCATTCGTCACTGAGCGCCATCCATCAGTAGTAATGCAAACGGCAGTGGCTGACCCACCACCAACTTCTTTTTTCATACTTTCGATCGTCCTGTTATATAACTTGGGCAGAAGGCTTTCAGAAAGAGTTTTACGAGTGGGCAATTTATATGAAGGATTAAGCATGTCCACGAATTTTTGGAATTCCTTCTCTTCCACAAGTCTGAAGGCATGATAACCTTTGGCTATCATTTTTATTAGCTGCTCGTCCAGCTGTTGCGTCCTAATTAGTGGAAGAGGTTTTTTGACTACGATGTAATCTTTTACTGTAGTTGCGGCCACCTTACCCTTTGTAGCTGATATAATGTTAGCTGTTGTTACAGTTGGTATGGTCCCAGAAGAAGTGGTTGTAGTCACCACTGATATTGTAGAACTTGTGGTGGTGCATTCTGGTTGGAATTTTCTTCGCTTTCGTCTATTGACTCAAGCCTTTTCGGTGTGATATTTACCGTCGGATGGACTTTTTTCATGTGCCTACTTAAGGTCCCAATTGAACTGGAAGATAACGTTAGTATCTTTGAGCAATAGTTGCATTTAGCTTTCTTCGGCTCCGTGCTGTCAAAGTGGTTCCAGAGAGGACTAAATTTTCGTTTTGATGCCATATTCTGACTTTTTAGGTAACAAATTCACCACTAATTAATAGTCACACGTGAATACCTAGGTACACAAAAAAGATACCTAGCTAAGCATCTAATTTAGTGTTATACTGCACTGTAAGTAAAATTCTCTGCTTAACACTAACTAAAGAGTTTATATACACACACTTTTGGTTAATATTACACTTTGTATTTATACTTCGTCTTTAATTAAATAGTTTAAAGATGAAAAAAAGTTTTAGTACCTAATACAATACCTACTGTACGTAATAATTAATTACGACCACCAGTTAATTCCGAATTTACTATCTCTCGTAACTAACGTACGTACGCGTGCAATTACTATTTAGTAAAATACAACACTGACCGACTGACATCTGACCTGACTCAAACAAATCTAAATAAGCTAACCTATTATTACATTAAATCATTAATGCATAAAAATAATTACGGAGAAATGGTCCTTTGTATATTTATAATAAACACCAAAATTGCATACATTACACGGAGAAATTCCAGGAATTGGCGGACCACAAGCGCGGGGCAGCGCGAAGCTCGCGCTGCCCGAACGACACCGATCGCGCGCGACGTTTTTCGTTTCATGGTTTCGGGCGGGTGATGTGAGTGATGTGTAATGGTTGGATTTGACGCGTAATGAGTAATGTTGCATCACTTCTCCGAGTAATATTACTCGTGTAATATTACACGCATTACTTACCCATGTCTAGTTTTGACCATTCTAGTGCTATTACGAAAAAACTGCGTACGTTCACTACTAAAGTTATGTTTCATTTAGCACGCTGAGTGCGTGCACGATGGTGTATATGCTACATCCGGTACCGCGGTCTTGAGCAGACGTACAGCAAGATGGACCCTGTATAAGACGCTTATGCCGTAACAATATTAGTATGTTGCTGTTTTTTTCTATGAATAAAAATTTTTTTAAAATTATACTTTAAATTTCACGCTATATTAAAGTAAATTTATTTGTTTTTAGTATTTGAATGCCAATAGAAATTTCCGAAGTGGTTCTCAGGATACGATATGCATTGCCAAACAGTTGTATTAATTTTGGTTCTACATCGAAAATGTTTAAAATGTTTAACTATGGAAACCAGTATAGTAGTCAAACAAAACAGATTAAAAAGAAAGTGAATGTGAAAATTATTGTTTAGTAATAGTTATATATAAACTAAAGGAGAGTTGAATAAAAATTAAAATAATAATTTTGCTTTTGTATGTCTTCAATAAAATAAGTATAAACTGTTCTTTTTTTTCAATAAGTTTATTTTCTGGGAATTTTGAAACACAGAATTTTGAAATAAGTTGGGAGAAATTTCATATGGTCATCTGCGTAGATTGAGGATTGACTAGATAAAGCATTCGCGTATGCTTTTGAGATAGAAATAGGCGCGAGGTACTTTCACTGGGTTACCAGATATTGTTCCATTTCCCCCGTTATGGGTTTATTTATATTCACAGCACTTACATTCATACAAAAAACTTAATTGTTACCATAAAAAAATGTTCTTTTATAATTCAGGTGATTAATTCATTTCTCTTGAAAATACATTCTGTGACTAAAAACTACGGGCGGAAACGGCGTAAAAACAGAATCATCATTATGTATTCAACGGCGAAACGACGATTTTACTGGACATTCAATAAACTCTTTGGATTTCGACGGCACTAAGTGAAGACGCTACTATCACAAAGTGTGATATTGCTAATAAATAACAATATGTTATGTATATACTTAAATATTAATTAAGGATAAAAATATTAAATAATAAACAAAAATTTCCTCGTGTCGAGTTTTGTTTTTACAAAAAAAAAATCAATAATGTTTTAACATACCATTCCATCACAAGTTCAGTGCTGAACACAGACCTCCCGAAAGGAAAGGCTGTCCACTTAGGTTTTGTAGTACAAAACACGGTAAAGAGGCTACTCCCTCGATTTCTTGCATGTTTTGCTAAGTTAGTGTCTTGTGTGCGGCAAGTTGTGGCGTACAAGAGAATTTGTCTGTATACGGAATGATATTACCCCGCGTCGTAAGCAATAATGCAAGATGGGGATGGGGCAGCAGCACTTTCCCGATGAAAACTTAAAATAATAAATAACTGCGGTGGCCAACAATCATAACGCATATTTTCACGCAGGTGGCAACTATGGTAAAAGTCATCCTATGAGTATATCTAGGGAAGGCCTTTTTAGGTGACTTACTTATGGTTAGGTGGCTTAATCATGTTACACAAAAAATACGGCACTTACTGCGTACTTTGCCTATGTGGAATCCGTTTTGCGATACGGACTCATTATATGGGGTAATAGCACAGATGTAAAAAAGGCATTCATTGCCCAAAAAAAATGTATTAGAGCAATATGTGGCACTGCACCCGATGAGCCTTGCAGGCCGTTATTTATATCTCTGAAAATACTACCCCTCCCATGCCTGTACATCTTTGATATTGCAAAGTTTGTAAAACAAAACATGTATTATTTCAGACAAGCGAAAGAGATTTACACACGAAATACCAGAAATGGCAATAGACTTGTTGCTGAAATTATATCCAAGAGTGCTCGATTTAAAAATAACTGCTACTGGATGTGTATTCTGATATTTAATAAAATACCCCAAAATATAAAAGACTTACCCCTTAGTAGATTTAAAGGCGCTTTTTACAGGTGGCTAAATGAACATTGTTTTTATAATGTGAATGACTATCTAAATTTGACATGATGTGACACAATAGTAGTTATATATTTTTAATTAAATTTTAATCTTAATTATATTTAAATTTTGTATGTATTGGTCAGTATTGGTATTGCTCATCTGTAAACATTGACATGACGATAAATATTTTAATTGAATTTTATATTGTAAATTTAATTTAATTTAATATGATAAATTTAACTATAAAAAATATATTTGCATGCTATTATAGATGGCTGAAAAAGCTGATCTACACTATATAATAACCACCTAAATGTACCCCTTTTTCAAAGCAAATAAATCTTCATTTCATTTCATTTCATTACCTAATGGTTAAGGTGGTAAAATGTTTTAGTTAATATACGTTGTAAAGCATCAACAAAGGGTTTGTTTTTGTAATATGTTAGTATATAAAATAAAAACGAATGTTTTATAATATTCTATTTTAATTTACCATGCAGTGTAAGATTATCTGCTACCTCATATCATTCCATGGGTGGTGTATGAGGCGACATAGGGAAACATCAAAGAAGATAAACAGCAGCATCTTCCTGATAACAGCTAAATAAAAAAAAAACAGTGGTTGACAACCCGCTTTCCAAGCGTTGAAACTAAGTCAAATAACTATAATCATGTTTATGTTCAACAGTAGACTTTTGATAGACTATATTCTATTCAAATGAATGTATATAGAAATATAAAAAGGAAAAAGAACTAAATTTTGTGTACTTACACAACATTAAGAAATATTAACAATGTTACATTAAATAAAACAAATTAAAACACATATATTAAATATAATTCAATAACATTAAAATAAATATACGATTATTTATAAATTTTTCATCACATTAATAAACAAATTTAACAAAATATTTGTCTTCTTTCTAGAGCATTCCCTGTAATTCTTGGTTTGAGTAGCTTTAGAATTTCTCAAAAATATGCATTTGTAAACTTGATTTATACTTTACATGGCAGAAATTCTTGGGTGCTGGTTGTTAGAATCGGATTAGAAGGGTATATATATATATATATATATATATATATATATATATATATATATATATAATACATTTTAATGGTATAAATAATAAGGTACAACTCCTAAATTATACTTAGATAGGTAATACTAATCTCTTGGGAAAAAGATCTTTATTACATTATTTATGACAATTAAATAGAAATTATCATAATTATTACATTATTTATGACAATTAAATAGAAATTATCATAATTATTACATTTATTTCTTAATTTATTTACACATTATTGTTTATAAAACCTTTATAAAAGGGATTAAGGGTGGACTAAATGTCCCATTGGTAGGCATTCCCAGTCAGTTTTACAATTATTATTGCATAATAAATTATTCATTTGTATATTTAGGTCAGGACTTTAAATTATTTATTTATTTCTTTTATTTAAATCTTTATTTGCATAAAACATGGTAGTACAGATAAAGTTCCAACATTTGTAGATGAGGACTCATGTTTAATCAATCCATCTATAAGTAAATATTATGTCATTGTCATGCAACCAAATTATTACAACTCTTAATAATACAGAATGTCAGCATTTGAAAATAAAATAAGCAATGCTAGTCAGTTTTTAATACATACAGAACAAGGTCAAAAATCATAACAACTACGAAGGTCAAACTTATATCACTTATGGAGAAACAACAAGATACAACAAGAAATTATAACATTTAAAATAATATCTTAATTATATTATAAATTACATAAGTTAAGTAGGTATATTTAGTCCACCTAAAACAATGAGGCTCATAATGTTTTATAGCATATACTGCTAAGTTTTGTTGGTTACCTATAATTACTACCAGTAGCGAATATCCAACAGTTATGGATAGCTGATTCCTTAGAAAAGCTGTGAAATAATATATTTAAAAGAAATTAATATATTAAATATATAGTACACTTTTATATCAAGGCATTTAATTAAAAAAAAAATCAAGTATGGGTATCTGTGCATAAATACAATACCTATAACAATTAATACAATATCAATTGATTTAATTAAATAGCAAGTATATGTAAATGTAATGATAATATTACTCATACCAAACATTTAAAAAAATTATGTACATATTAAGCTTTAGATATTGTTAATTAATACATTTACAGCCTAACATAGTTATGTCCTCCACAGCTGAACATAGGCCTCCCACACAGTTTGTCTCCAAATAACTGCAGTTGCCAATTCTCCTGCCAAGCTAGGCAACTATCACAAAAACTATAACTTTGACTTTTGATACTGACTAATGGTAACGGTAAGTATATTATCATCAAATTTTTTCTACATCATTAATTGAGAATATTATCTTATGTTGTTGTGTTATTGTGTACCTTAAGATTAAGACTTATTTATTTATTTATTAATTTATCAATGTTTATATTTATTTTTATATTAGTATGACATATTTATTTATTTTTTAATAAATATTGTAATGTAATTGTTGCTAATGTATAATAGAATTAATGGAATGCAATAAAGTTTTGTGCATCTGATTTCAGGCAATACATATTTTGTGAAATTAAATATACTTTGCCCAATGTTTATGTACTTGAATCCAAACATGTTTTCAGGTTGATACTTACATAATATTATTTGTGACATCTATGTAATATGGAAAATGATTGAAGAGTTGTAGGGCAATAAGGAGTTTCTTTTAAAGCTGAACATAAAAGTGTATGTATATGTATAACATTATGTGATTCATATTTATGGACATAACTACTAATCACAATAACAATTATTATTGAACAATGCGAAAACATTATTGTACTCGCTGATATCCCTAAAGTTTCTATAATCCTACCAAATCAAAAAGTACACGTTTGTTATGAATTTAAGCTTTCGAATGACCGTTCAAATTAAGGAGCATTATCATGAAGAATTTACAATTTGGGAGTCCAAATATTTGACAAAATACATCACAAAGTTCATTAAACACATGAAATGTTACACTTTATATTCAAAACAATAGATATTAATCAGTACAAGTAGCAAATGTAAGCACAAAACAAACTTACCGATGAAAGGTAATATTATCAATTTTTCGTTGACTGATGCTGTTGCATCCTAAAATGCTACAACTTACCATCTTTTTAACCTTACCTAATAACTAAAACCCACAAACAACACTAAATTCAATTAGCTGTTTGCTTATAATATCAATATTATTCACAAGAGCTTGACATCGTTAATGTCAAATAAAGGAGGGAAAACAATCAAAACCGCATACCTAGAAAAAGACAAGAAATATAGATTTGCTTCTCCCTTACTCTTATGTCTAACTATATACGTGCATTCCTTTCACACGCTGATGACGTCACGGAATGTTTAGTCTATAAGATACAAAGTCTATGGTCATCTGGCGGCACTGACGTTATTTGTCACTGTCAGTGTCATTAAATGTTTGACGTTTACTGTGTATTCGTCGATTTTGATAATTTGATTGTAAAGGGAAATAAATGCGTTTTGATTTGTTTTTGTTTATGCTATAACCGTGGCGGTTGTGTTCAATACCTATTAGTTATTAAAATCGCTTCAAGAATTGCTTTAACAAGATTAATTATGATAATGTTCCTGTGATTAATACTATCTAATCTCTGCTGAAGTGTTGATAAGTCGTTTTATTGACGACGTATTTCGTTTAGTTACAGTTTTAGTTTTTTACGTTATAAACTTTTTATTTATTGTGATTTTAACATAGTGTATGCGTGAATAATGAACTTGTCCTTTGCGGGTTGTGGTTTTCTTGGTATTTACCATGTTGGTGTTGCTGTGTGCTTTAAAAAATATGCACCACATTTGTTGTTAGGAAAAATTTCTGGTGCATCTTTTGGTGCTATTTCGGCCTGTGCACTTCTGTGTGATATTCCGATTGGTGAGTAACTTCATATTTTTATTATTTAAATTATACTGGACATAAATTAAATATATTTAATAAATAATTTATTTAAATATCCATCAAAACATTTTAATAGGTATATTATGTCTTATCTTATCAGAATCCCAAACTTATTGTATTTCGTTAACACAGACTGACATATTTGCAAATAATTTATAATACCTTTCATTTGATGAAAATTGATCATTTTATTGGTTCTTTCTAAATTGTAGTGTAATAAATACTTTACTGTTTTACTTTTATAATTCAAAATTCATATAAATAAATTTGAAAATTTAAATGTGATAAAAATAGATAGAACTATTGAGACTCATCTTCCCAGTAGTTCAATTGAATATAATTTACTACTACAGTGAATTTGTACCACTTGATTAAATCTCTACATAGTATAAAACAAAGTTGCTTCCCTCCGTTTGTACATTTAGATCTTTTCAACTACGCAACGGATTTTGATGCAATTTTCATCAATAGACAGAATGATTCAAGAGGAAGTTTTATATCTATAATACATGCATATTATATATAACATAATATAATTCAGTCCATGTCTATGTGACTGAACTCTTAAATGGCTGCACTGATTTGTGTGTGTTTTAAGTTGAATAGCCACTTAACCGTCCAGCCCGTGTGAATGAATCTCGCCTGACCTGTTCGTGCATTAATTGTCACTATTTTTTTTACGTGAGCTACATTTAAATATTATTCTGAAAAGATTAATTTTCTTTTAACAAAATTTAATTTTGTTAAAAGAAAATTAGTCAAATTAAAAATAAAGGCTGAAAATAAAGCTTAAAAATGGGAATATCAAAAAAAATTGTATTTATTTTTTATTTCGAGTTTTACAAGAAAAATATAATACTTACTGGAGACAATCATTTTATATTATATTCCCTTTAAAATGACACCAATATCAATAATAGCTTATATACTCAGTATAACTAATAAAGTATAACTCTTATATACAGGTTTCCATAGTTAAACATTTTAAACATTTTCGATGTAGAACCAAAATTAATACAACTGTTTGGCAATGCATACCGTATCCTGAGAACCACTTCGGAAATTTCTATTGGCATTCAAATACTAAAAACAAATAAATTTACTTTAATATAGCGTGAAATTTAAAGTATAAGTTTAAAGAAATTTTTATTCATAGAAAAAAACAGCAACATACTAATATTGTTACGGCATAAGCGTCTTATACAGGGTCCATCTTGCTGTACGTCTGCTCAAGACCGTGGTACCGGATGTAGCATATACACCATCGTGCACGCACTCAGCGTGCTAAATGAAACATAACTTTAGTAGTGAACGTACGCAGTTTTTTCGTAATAGCACTAGAATTGTCAAAACGCCAAACGGTGGGAATTCTGCTTGTGTTATCTATAAAATACAAAAAAGAAAAGAAAAAGGGAAAAAAAATAAAAATCTTTATTGACATAAAAATGTTACAATATTTTTTTGAAGTCCCTGACTCCCGAGCTAGGTTAAAAACCTGTGGTACGGGAGTTAGTGCCATCTCCTTAATATAAATGACAGCTAAACTATTTTATGTAAATAAAGTAATTTAATTCTATTTGCGTGCATGCATATTTTACGTGCATGCATATCTCCGAGAGGTGTGTGTGTGTGTGTGTGTATGTGTTTGCGTAAGTGGATATGTATGTGTGTGAGTGCACATGAGTGGTCGTGCATGTGCGTGCATTCGTGAGTGTGTGGTTGAAATTTAAGATTTAACAAATTTTTGGATGTTATTTGATTAGCTTCATACTAAGATCGATTCAGTTTGTTCATAATCTAGTCCTAATAGCCAATTCTTAATTCTAATTTTGACTTTTCTATTAGATATGAGATGTATATTTGTTAGCTTATTAATTTTGTTATACAAATATATAGCCTTATAAGCATGTTGCTGCCTAGCAGAAGCAGTTCGACATGTAATAGGTAAGCATACATTTTTTATAACCCTATTTTTAACATTAGAAATAATGTATAAAAACAGAAAAGTTATCACATTTTTGATCGAATTTCTCACACTTTAACATTCCACAAACAAAAATGGCGAAATTTAATTTTAACTTTTTTTCTTAATATTTTGTTATTATACAATACAATACAATACTCTTTATTGTACACCAAGAAAAGATAAAAACATCAAAAATAAAAAAATAAACAACTATTGAGGGAAATACAAAGGGCGGTCTTATTGCTACATAGCAATCTCTTCCATACAACCCAGAAGAAGAAATAAATAAAAATAAAAAAAAAAACAATACTACTAGGGGTACTATTATACAGATAAAATGCACTTTCACAGATGACAAAAACACCATCTATAATTTTTTACTGTATTAATAACAGCTATCTTTTGCGCTGTACACGTTTAGACAGAAATATGTCCTTTGGTGACTATAGTCACCTTGGACAGGTGAGGCAATAATTGTTTTTGGTGACTATAGTCACCATGGACAGGTGAGACAATAATTGTTTTTGGGGACTGTAGTCACCGTGGATGGTTGAGTAGTTATAGAATAGTTCATAATTGGACCCAGTAGGTGGCATTGTAGTCGAGATCCAGAAATCAACTGTGAGAAGCCAGGGTGGATTGGTAGTTGAAGATAATTTGTAACCTATGCTCATCTGAGTTAAGTTAAAAGCTATTTGCACATGAAAGCTAATATGGGATGACTAGTAGAGAATGCTTCAAGGCATTAAATCCGCCCTTTGTATGCTTTTGTTTTAAGGAATGCAATAAAGAATAAATAATTAAAACTAATGTAATTTTCCAGTTGCGGAATTGGTCTAGCATGAAATATTTTCCGTTTAATCAATGCAGAATTACTCTAAAACATCCATCCATAATGGATTATGTGCAAGATTAGTAAAACAGCAATTTGTTACTTTATTATGTGCAAGATTAGTAAAACGGCAATTTGTTTCATCCACAAAAATTTTAAATGACACACACAGCACTATTTTTGCTGAATCCATTTCATCCACTTTGGTGCAAAATTAAGTGTGTGGCTATCTTGAAAGTTTTTGTGTGATCCTGAGTTCATTGGCAATTTATTTTAAAACCAGCAGTTTTGATTAGCAACATTCAAGATTAAGACAAGAAGTTGGTAGATAGTTTTACTGGTTGTTCACTGTACTCCTCCATGTGCACACGGCATTACTTATTTTTTAAGGGTAAAGTCCAAATAATTTTTACATTCAACGGCTTCTCAATTTTTATAAGTATTTGTATTCATTTAATAATACTACTTTTACGGATAATATTGTGTTTGATTCTACTTATTTTTAATTTCCGACGCACCCATGATCCCACATGACCATAGGTGCTGTAAAGCACCCAATACGTTGGGAATTGAAACTAAATTAGAATTAAATGTGATAAAATCTGTGAAAGTTGTTTCATTTCATTTAGTGTTTGTTTGAGTATAAAAAATCATTATTTATATTCAATTGACTTTCTGGGGGAAAAGTCTCACTAGTTAAATGGTTAAACGAATTAGTTGAATAAGATGGAACTAACCTGAGGAGCAAGGTTATATTTTTCATTTTAACGCTTCAAAATCATTTTTTTATAGTATTTTATGACTAAAAGTTTGGTTTTTCACATTGCTAGTTATCATTTAGTTCTGTATTTAGATTTTTTAATAAGCTTAAGTCAAAACAAGAACAACAATGATCAAATGTTGTTTTTTTAATGTAAATAAATTACTCCATAACAATCAGTTTGGATTTACAAGGGGTTGCTCAACAACTGATGCTGGTGTTGAACTGATCAAACATTTTTTGTGCATGGGAAAATTCAGAAGATGCTTTGGGTATATTTTGTGATCTTTCCAAGGCTTTCAACCGTTCACTATGAGACATTAATCAAGAAGCTACATCATTATAGTATAAAAAACATAGCAATTAAACTTATTATGTCATATCTAAATAATACATTGCAAACAGTTGTTATTAATGAATGCAGTTCTTTCGGATCGATAATATATATGGGTGTTCCTCAGGGTTCAGTTCTTGGTCCCTTTCTGTTCTTAGTTTATATTAATGACTTACCTTACTTGACAGGGAATAACCATGATATAGTATTATTTGCTGATGATACTTCGTTGATTTTCCGACTAAAAAGGCAGTTATTGAAATATGACAAAGTAAATAAATGCTATGTGAAACTATGTTATGTTAACTGCTATGTATACTGGTTTTACATCAATAATTTGCTTTTGAACGGTAATAAAACGAAATGTTTGTAAGCTGTTATTTTAAAAAAAAGTCCCGCTGGGTTTCTTGCTGATTCTTCCCAGGACAGAGGTTTTTTTTTCGAACCAGTGGTAATCATACAAAAGAGTGACTTTCAATAAGTATTATTTATAATCTATATTGAATAAAAAAGTTTCTGTTTCTGTTTCTATTTCTGTTTCACAAAAAAAAATGTATTAAATTCGCTACACCTAATGTTAAAAAGGTGAATAATACCAGTGTGCTTTTAAACGGGGAGGAGCTGGGCCTTGTTGAATCCACTATTTTTCTCGGTATTACAGTTGATGCGAAGATTCAACGGGGCCCTCATATTTCTTAACTAGCTAGCAAACTTAGTTCTGCAGCAAACGCTGTAAAAATATTAAATGCGTTACATGTGTTAAACAGCTAGATTAGTTTATTTTAGTTATTTCTATAGCATAAAGTCATATGGAATTTTGCTACGGGGTAATGCGAGTGACAGTGAAACTATCTTTGTTTTGCAAAAGAGAGTCATAAAAGCAATTTATAAGCTAGGTCCAATGGAATCCCTTAGAGAAAAATTTAAAGGAATAAATATATTTACTTTGACCTCTCAATACATTTTCGAGAATTTAATATATGTGCACAGAAACAAAAATACTTTTATTAAAAATAATGATGTACATTCTGTAAATACTAGGAACAAGCACAAATTAGTTATACCAGTTACTCGACTCCAAATA